TCATTGCAAATTGTTGACAAAGCTTGTGGCCTGGTTTCTCATGAAACTTTCTCCCACGGAGGCAGTGCTGCTCCTGATTTGACTTCTCTGGGCTCTCAGCAAAAGGCAGCTGGATGTTGCAATTGGATTTCCAGAGCTTTCTGCCTCTCTTTGCTTGTTCCTTTGCTGCTACCTGTCCCTCCAGATGAAGTCAGTCCTTCCCAGTCCTCCTCCTAAAGCAGTGCCCGGGCAGAAGAGCTGCTCAGCTGGCGCCGGAGCAAGCAGCGATGTGGTGGCGCGGGATGCCGGGAGCAGGGGGCTCTGCTGCGGCACTCAGGCTCACGTCCCCGCAGCCGGGTGACCTGCAGGCAGCACGGAGCCCTGCCCTTGCCTCGGGACCCTGCCCTGCCGAAGTGCACTGCTCTGCCCTTTGCTTTTCTCCTAGGAAAAAGCCGGAGGAACGTGCCTGGAGGGTGCCGCGCCGTGCGGCAGGGATGCTGCCCGCCCATCCATGCGGCACGCCCAGAGCCAGCGAGCCAGAGGCACCGCGGGGATGTCCCTGCGCTTCTGCAGGCCTCGGAGAGAGCAACAGGAGTAAAAGCTTAGAGCCATTTGGGCTGAAAGGGACCCATAAAATATTATCTAGTGCAACCCCCTGGCATGAAGAGGGAGATCTTTCACTTGACCAGGTTGCTGTAAGTACCATACAAGCTGGCCTTGAGCACTTTCACAAATGGGGCATCCACAACTTCTCTGGGCAACAGTGTTTCACTGTCTCACCACCCTCACTGAAAAGAAAAAAAATCTCCTCATGAACAGTCTAAATCTACACTCAGTATGATAGCCTTGTCCCTTCTCCTATTATTACAGGCCCTGATTAAAAAAAAAAAATCTGCCCCCATCTTTCTTGTAAAGCCCCCTTTAACTACCAAAAGGCTGTTCCCTAGAGCTGTTCCTTCTCTTCTCCGGGCTGAACAACCCCAACACTCTGAGCCTGTCTTCTTAAGAGAGGTGCTCCAGCGCTCTGATCTTCTCCATGGCCTCCTCAGGACTACACTCTAAACAGGTCCACATCTTTCTTCTGGGGACCCCAGAGCTGGACACAGCACTCCAGGTGAGGAGGCCTCACCAGAGCAGAGTAGAACCACCTCCCTCAACCTGTTGGCCACAACTACTTTTATGCAGCCCAGAATACCATTTGCTTTCTGGGCTGCAAGCACACTCTGAAATAAATGAAGACAGAACAAATTACCACTATCTGGTAATCTGGGTTACTGCAGTTTTATACCAAGGAAAGCTATACCTTATGGAAAGCTATCAGATCACTTTAATAGGTCCTGTAAATGTGAGAAACAAAGATGTCAAAGAGGGTGCATGTCCCTCAGCCCACACCACGGAAGAGGGAGCATGATTCTGTCCTGCTGGCATCCCTGGAAGCAGCATTTCTATGGAGAGAGCTGAGCTGGCTTTTCTGGGGAGCTGCACATTGCCTGGGCTCCCTGCCAGCACCCAGGAGCATGGTGCTGGCAGAGGACACCTGTGACCCAGGGTACTGTGGCACAGACCCCCACACACAGCAGGGTGTACAGTTCTACTGCCACCCACCACTCTGCAAAAGCCTTCCTCATCTGGCCTGACCCCAAATCCTGACAATACCTTCTGACCTCTCCTCTTGCCTCCTTCTTGCCCAAGCCATGCTCATCCCAGGCACCACTTTCATGCTCTGGGGATGTGTGCTGCATATTTTTTGTTCTTGTAGGTGACCTGGGGCTGTGGGCTTCAGTCTAGCACAATCCAGGTCTGATCACACATATGGGGACTGCTCTTGTCCCTTAGATGCTCAGGGTTGCCACAACCGTGCTCAAAAGCAGAGTCACAAGCCCAAACTCCCACTCTTCCTGGAGGAGATGACGTGATGCATACTGAGCTTGGAATAAGCAGACAGGAGAGCTGCTGTGGGGCTGTGCTTCTCTGTGCCCTCCCTGGCCAGAAAGGGTCTTGTGAGGTTTGACACAGAAGGGCTAAAATAGCTACTGCACCTCCACTGTCCCAGCCACCTTCAACTCAACAAGACCACACAGGGCCATGTTTTGCTGTGGGGCACTGCATTTTCCTGTGGATGCATCCCAGCAGTGCTGGTGGTGGCCGCACGCTGCTCTTCAGCTGAGGCGTGGTTGCCCTGTGGAAATACATGGTGCTACTGCTCTGGTGAAAATGCTGACCCCCAGCATATGAGCTGCCTGACTGAGAACCTCCCATCTGATTAATATTCACATCCTTTCCTGGATTCTGCCATGCTCCTTGAGAACTTTGATTTTCTCCAGGAATACTGGACTTATAACTTCCTTCTTCCTCCTCATACTTTGATGCCTAACTACAAATGTCTTGCCACGTTACCAGTGAACTTTCACTCTATTGCAACCTGATGGCTTGTTTCAGGAGGTATTCTAGATGTTTACAATCTCATCCAGCTGCCAAGTTTGATTAGAATCAGACTTACAAGTCATTAGGCATGATGGATAGACAGATGTATTCATGTGTAACAAAGTATTATAGTCAAGCAGTATTTTTTTTGTAGGGAGAAAAAGACTGAAAATTAACTATGCCAAAAAAGAACATTACAATATGATGAGGTCAGAGTGGACTGTGGTGTGACTGGAAAAGTGAGATCTCCAAGGACTCCTTACAGGTTGGGCTGGATTGTAGACTGCAATGGTGAAAAGCTGGAGGGGCTGGCATGCAGTGTGAGCAGCCAGACCTTGCACAAACACATGCTCATTGCTGCTTCTCCTATAAGGGCTGTATGTCTCTTTCCTCAATCAGGGGTTCATTAGGACACCTTACCTCTTGTGCTAGGATCTGTAAGTCTGTATTTGCCCTTTCACACATCATTGCATGCTTGAGTGGTGCAGAGTGTGCACGATCCCTTCCAGAAACAGGGCCTTCTTTAATCACAAAGCCTTCCTCTACTTCAGAGACATGTTGAGACCAAGCAAGACAGTGGTGCCATGGAAAAAATTGCAATATTTTTATAGGATTCACATAAAATATAGCAGGCATTCATCATGGGGAGCTACAGTGGACCCATGGAAAAATGTGTTAGACATTTCCTAACTCTGATGTTTTTACTGAACACTGTGCTGTCACTTCTTTTGCTATTTCTAGACAAATTTGAAAGATGGCATATATGGTAGTGACTCTGCCTTGAGTCACAATTGAGGCCTGGTTCACAATGCACCACTTTCCCTACAAGTGCTCAGTTCAAAACTGAAAGAAGGGAAAGACAAATTTCACTAGCACAAGTCCAGGTATTTTCTGACCGTAGAGAAACATGAAAACACTGGACTGACCTGCTAGTTCTGAAAAATGGATTTTCTGCTGGCTCATATTGTGGGTTGCCTTTTACCAATCGATCCCTAAAAGACGTCTGAAGAGCCTAAATATTTTGAAAGATAAGTGTACTCATTGAAGAAGGCAATTCTTCAAAAAGCTGATGCTTGTTTGAGTGTTGAATGAGAATATCAGTGCCATCAGTGATGGTGTCATTATAGCATCATGGACACCGGCATTGCCATCATGTTGCTCACAACATCAGATTTAAACAAAGCACAGGGTGACTATTGGACTGACTTGCAGAATGTCTCTTGAAGAACTGAGAAATATCTAAGTGAACAGAAAAGAGGAAGCAGATGTCTCTGGTCATGCACTTTGGCAGCAGGATAGCTCATTCTTGTCACTTTGGCAGCCCACCAGGCAGCACCAGAGGCCGCTGAAATCAGCAGATCCATGAGGGCTGAGGACAGTAGGAATAGCACAGGCACTCATGGGGCTGTGTGTGTGTGTGTGTGTGTGTGTGTGTGTGTGTGTGTGTTTGTGTGTTACAAAGTAGTTTTTACCAATAAGAAGAATGAGATTCACTTTCTCCCTGCAGTTACTTTGCTTTTGTGAGACCAAATGAAGAGCGGCATTAAGGGCTACTAGCAGGAGTTATTTATTGCACTTTAAAACCACTTGAGTGTCGCACGGTGTACGTGAAGCACTCTGAAACCCAGATACATGCAAGCCTGCCAGACCACGAACAGGATTTTGCCTGGCCAGCTGTCAGTCTCACCCTGTGAGTCACCGATGTCCCACTGATTACTTTCCAGTCAGCTGCAAATGAAATGCCTGCAGCGCCCAGGGGAACAGCAAGGTTAGGACTGCCTTCCTGACTGTCCCCTGCTCCTACACCATCATCTCTGCTGGCCGAGACAGGATAGGTTTCTTCCTGTAGAATCAAGGCAGTTTTTTTCCAGGCTCAAGGACTCACTAGTTATTAGAAACACATGTAACTAACTTTGAGGGATGTTGGATAATGCCCAGACCTGCTTGTGCAGGTACTACTACTGGCTTGTTGATGGACGCGAGAAAAATCTTTCCTCAGAAAAGTGGATCAGTTCTGGGACAGGGCACTAGAGAGGTCTAGATCGCCACGATGGGCAGCTTTCAAGATTCAGTGGGACAAAACCACAGCTGAGTTCACACGCTGCTGGCAACAGTCATGCTCCAAGCAGGATGTTTGACTGGAGACCTCCAGAAAACCCTGCCACTGGCACTGCTAGGATATTGTAATATATTTAACAAAAAGCTAGTAATTATTTAAAAGCAGGAAACGAGCTGAAACAAGCTCCACCGAGCTGACAGAAAAGCTACAGTTTACGCAGATTTGCTCCAAGCGAAGACAACGCGTAGCCCTCCAAGGGGCACGGATACAAACACAGCCGCTCGCTGCTGCCGCTTACACCCTCTGCCACAGGCGAGCTCTTCTAGGGGCTGCTACAGCGACCGTTCCAGCATGCTGCCACCGGGCACCGTGTAGGAGAGCCAGCCGAGGCGGGATGCGCCCACAGGGCGGGCTCAGGGGGCAGGGGCGGGAGGCTGCACGGCGGGGGATGCCGGAGCGGGATAGCGCTGGGGGTCCCGCCGGCGCTGCCGGCGGAGGCGGGCGGGGCGCGGGGC